AAGTGTTGTGCAAGTAAGAAAAACATAATTACATTTATCATTAAAAACGATGTGGATATTAGAAATAAAAATGTACACTATTTTTAATATGCTATTTTTCAATCTACCATATTTTCTAAAACTGAACAGCTCACTTTTATGTCTTCTGCTTTATCAGCAAGGTAACAAATTCTACAATTCAGCATGTCTCTACGGACAGGATATTCTGTATAACCCTCTGCTAATATCAAACAATAACCATTACTGAAACCTCTACAACACCTACCTACTGACTACACATACAAATAATCAACCATTGAACTCACAACAGCCCAGAAGAAACGCACTATTATCCAGATGCAACAAGATTGCTAAATAAAGCAACCAATCACAAGGAGGGTAAATAACTTATCCCAAGTCACTAGACAGTGGTAGCAACAGAAATAGTAGATTCTACACACAAAGCCCTCAAAGGTCTATTCTTTCAAGTTGTATGTTCACTTCCTGTCATTCAAATATGCACTATGATATTGTATTTAATCAAATGCAAAGAGGATTTATCAAATTTCTATCATACTACAAATATTCTTAAAATGATTTACTTTTTCTTACTAGAGATTATTAAAGTAATATTTATCACAGTGTACTCTGAAACATTTTCTCTTTCAGCAATGAATAAAGTAATTCCATGACATAAATTTTATTTGTTCAAAAATAAAATAGATAATCATTTTTAGGGAGGCAATATCACTATTTACTAAAATATTTATTATTTATTGCTGTGAAAAAGTACTGTACTGAGAACCAATTTAACGTAGTGCTTCAGCTGAGCATGCACCCGATGACAAGAAAAGCACTTTAGTCATGCTAAGTGTCAGCTTCTGACCCACTAAAGAAAGCTAATAATGTTTATATTTCCTATCAAAATACTGTTCATACAGAAACACATGCATCATTCATGAGGGAATGACACACACATATGAAGTACAGAAACACATGCATCGTTCATGAGGGAATGACACACACATATGAAGTACAGAAACACTTGCATCATTCATGAGGGAATGACACACACATATGAAGTACAGAAACACTTGCATCATTCATGAGGGAATGACACACACATATGAAGTACAGAAACACATGCATCGTTCATGAGGATGACACACACACAAATGAAGTACAGAAACACATGCATCGTTCATGAGGATGACACACACACAGATAAAGTACAGAATCACATGCATCGTTCATGAGGATGACACACACACACAAATGAAGTACAGAAACACATGCATCGTTCATGAGGATGACACACATACAAATGAAGTACAGAAACACATGCATCGTTCATGAGGATGACACACACACAGATAAAGTACAGAATCACATGCATCCATTCACTTACAGAAATACCAAAAAGAATGCTTAGGTCACAAAACTATGAGGCAATATTTTTGCCACAAAATTTCAGTCCATTATCATATCAAAACCTTCCTTTATCATGCTCCACTGATCTGGAAATCTGTTATCAATTAGTCAGTTATTCTGGAGGTTTGCAAAATGATTTCAGTTATAAAATGGCCAGTGTCTTCATTATGTAAAAACCAATGGAGAAAATAATAACATGTAATTTCAAATGGTTTAATCTTGATGTTAGAGATTCTCATGAACCCAACGTTAATCTATTATCTCAGAGACTCAAAAAGCATTTAATCAGCTGATACAACTCAGTTCTCATAGAAAACACTCTCAACAGTAAGTTTTTCTGTCTAGGTCATGTAACTTATCAACTCAAGTCCACAAAGTGGGAGGTGTCATCGAGATCAGTCAGATGTGAGATGATTTCCAACAAGAATAAAATTCAAGCCTCTAGCAGGTTTTCCTCTAAAGATGCACCTCTAACTACTCAATTACATGGTTATGACCTCCACTCAGAAGAGGCCGGATATCACAACAGCATTAATTTAACTAAAAGAACATATGTGTTTCTTTTATTTAGTTTTATAAAGCACTTAGTATGAGAACCACCTGTGCAGAAAATACTGTTGTGAACCCATAATCAGCTAATATTTTTAAGAAAAATTAATATACATCTTTATGGAAATCTCCCTATTGGCATATTTTGACATTATTTTAAAAAATAAAATCCCTTTGTGTAAGGAACCTACTTATAGCTTATGTTCTCTTATTAGTGCACAGTTGGATATCAGGGGCAGGGCCTTATGTAGACACGGGGCAGGCAGGCTGGCACCAGCCTGGCACGGGAGCACTCCTCCACCTCCTTCTCAGTGAGCGTTTCAGTAATCAAGAAGAGATATGCACATTTATATTCCTCATTCATGCTAATGAGAAAAAGTTGTCCAGTGATGCATTTACAGCAAAGACAACATCAGGCCTTAACAGCAGCTCATTATCTAAAGGAAAACCTAACATAACTGTCCTAAAGCGGCAGCCCTTTATGCCAACCATACAGTTATTCTGTGGCCACTGTGTTTGCCCCACACATACTTACTGACACGTACTCCCTCAAAGACTGCCGCTCAGATCCAGTAAATCAAATACCTATTACAGATACACAGGCATACAAATCAAACATCTACTCACAGTGGAACATGTAGAAATTTATTTTGAAACAATTCTTTGGTTTACATAATTTTATCACTTATAAATATTAAAGCAAATGTGCATGCTCTGATACAGAGGTGCTTCCCTATGTTAGCACGAAACAACTGACAGGTATGAAGACCAACTGCAATGTTCTCAGTGTGCATTGTGACTTGAACTTTTAATTACCAATGCTGAATAAACCACCCCATGGAAATATATTAAAAATGTCAGAAGTATGCTGAGATACTATTCAAACTGTTAGAATTTGTCCTAATTCTAAACCAAAATCCACTGAAATATTTTTTCATGAAACTCACTCAGCAACTCAAACAGCAATCTTTTAAATCAAACATTCTAACATGCTAAAACCCAAAGTTAAAATAATTTGATACTTTCATGCCAAAGAAATACTTTAAAAATCCTTGTTTTCCATAATTAAACTACTATGCACCCATTACAACGGGAAGAATCATACACAGTAAAAACACTGCACCTCATCACACAGTCTTGAAAGTGAGTCAAGGCATCTCGGCAGCTTTCCTCAGAGTGCTGTCTTGACATTGGTACATGCAGGACAGAGTATACATGTTGCATGTTCAAACTGAGGCTGCAATAAAGCTACACTGTAATACAGACAACACTGCAGAGACACAGTAGATCCTAAATACCAAAGCTATACACTGATACAGACACTGCAGAGACACAGTAGATCCTAAATACCAAAGCTATACACTGATACAGACACTGCAGAGACACAGTAGATCCTAAATACCAAAGCTATACACTGATACAGACACTGCAGAGACACAGTAGATCCTAAATACCAAAGCTATACACTGATACAGACACTGCAGAGACACAGTAGATCCTAAATACCAAAGCTATACACTGATACAGACACTGCAGAGACACAGCAGATCCTAAACACCAAAGCTACACTGTGATACAGACAGAGACACAGCAGATCCTAAGTACCAACGCTGGAGATAGAGCAGAAAGAATCAAGAGCCACTGGGGCAGGAATCTTGATTGTAGCCTTGAAACATGTCAAGTGGCAGGACAGGGAGAGCCACAGGGGTAAATGTATCTAAGACAGCATAGGCCACAACACATCCCAGACTGTGGAACACTAAAGACACTTAAGCAGAAAGCTATAGCAAAATAGCTCTGCAGCAGCTTTGAAAAAGAAGAAAAGTATTGTTATTACAAACAGCTTGAGATAACAAACAAGAAGGAAGAGTATTAATGTGAACTAAGTATTCTGCACACATTCACTGAAATACTGGATTATATTTTATCATTAGTGTGTGATGCCCTTGTTCACAGCCTGTGTATGATAGTCAAGGGGAAGCGGCCTGGAGTCCATTCTTTCCTATCACACTGGGTCCAAGGGATTGAACTCAGATCAACAGGCTTGAACAGGAAGTGTTCTATCTGAGAAGCCCTGGAATAGACTTAAAATAATTTGCATATGATTAGGACCCAAGGTAGAAAACAAAAACAAGATTACTCTCCCAAGACCTTCAAGGTAGGGACTGTTAGAGAAAATGTTAGATGAAATAAGTTTTACTCTGCTTCAAATCTACACTTTCTTTTTAACATCTAAAACACACAAAAACGTGATCTCTACCTGTTGTGTGTGTACAATTTTAAAGAGCTTCTACACATCTTTGTTTGGCACACAGCATTATATGATTAGGAATACATAACTTTAGTATTGTTTTATAATTGAAGTAAATTGGAGTATGTGATTAGTTTGATTTGAATTGGGGTTAGTGTCAAAACTACAGGTTTTAATCCTTTATTTACTAATTATTTCCCATATCTTACTTATTTTTGATCTGTATTTTACAATGATCATTATTTTTTGGTAACCTCACTTGGCAATACACATTTAAATAACTGAAAGAGAAAATGACCCTTACAATTCCTTTCTAATTTCTAATGGCTAGAGGGTATTTTAAAGCTTTAAGCGACCTGTGACAAAACGGCAACAGTGCCTGGGAGTTTTCATCGCAACACAAACTGCATCCAATGCTATCACTCCTGAAAGCCCCTTGGGAAATAATGGCTTTTGGATTCTGCTAGTCAGCGTGACATGGCATGCAAAATTGCATCTCACGCTGAGCCAACCAGGAAAATGTATGTCATCACTATGTGACATTCAGGATCTCATCTGGAAACTATCATCTTCTTCTGACTGCTAAAAGGGAGTGAAAAGACTATATTAAACAAACTTGAGTTGTTGCTGAGTTCTTGCCAATTCATATAAAAACTAGACTAACCTACTTATTCCAAAGAACTTCATATTTGAGACACTTGCAATGTACTTATCAACACCACAATGTGTTTTCAAAGAACTTCACAGTTAACTGACATTATAGTTCAAATCACTTTTATAATGATTCAAGTTAATGAATTTCTGGGGGAAAAATTCACAATGAAACAGTTAAAACTGAGAAATTATACAATTGAGAGCTGAGCTGGTCAAAATTATACACATCCTAATTCATCCCCCTGGTTGAATAAATGCTAGGCTAAAAATCAAAATAGTAAGGCAGAGTTTCAAAATTTGTGATGCCAGCACAAGGTCCCATCTCAAAAGCCCATGGGCTGGATATACAGCTCTGCTCTAGGGCACCTCTTTAGCTAAAGAGTAGGACTGGGGCTCCATCTATGTAAGCATGCACGAGTCTTTGTCCCATGGTGGGTGCAACTTTTCACTGAAGCTGCTTCAGGGTCACCATGCTCTGTAATAGGTCCAACAAACTCACCGATTCCCCAGAGTAAATCTGGAGGAATAGAACGTTGGATGGTCGTTATCATCTATAGGGGACAGGGTCTCTATTCACCATGATCTGTAATAGGTCCAACAAACTCACTGATTCTTTGGAGTGAACTTGGGTGAACTGGAACTTGTGATGCTCATCATATTCTATAGTGGATAGGGTCTCTATCTATATTCTATAGTGGATAGGGTCTCTATCTATATTCCAAAGGAGAAAATTCTTGAAACACAACTGTTTTCTCTTCTAAGGCAGAAAAACATTTTTCAACTACATTTTATCTCAGAGTATAAAATCAACTACACATTACACATTAATGTCTATCTTCAGTTCTTTAATATTTTACAATGAAATTAAATATCTAATTACAAAAGAATGGAAGTTTAACTTAACTGCATGATTAAAGCAAGTAACTTCTGAAATACATAAATCCACAAAAATGTAGTTTTAATACTACTAATACTACTAATTCCACACTCTAATGAGGAACATACCTGTTCAAATTCAAACTTAACAAATTAAGGACGGCCTGAGCACTTTGAGATGAATTGCTATAGATGGATACTGACTGGAGTAGTGTTACTCATTTTGCTTTTAATCAAGTTATTAAAATTAGATATTAAAAAATCAGTGCCATAGAATCAACAGTATTAACTTGAATTGGCAGTCTCATCATTGACCTGAAAAAGTACACTGCGAATGACCAGAATGAATCTTTTACTCTTTAAAGAAACTGTTGACTTTAGAATGACATGGTAAACTCATGAAAAAAACAGAAGGGAAGATGCCATGTTTTGTCTTCATTGAACAACTCCGTGTATGTGTAAAGGGCTTATACATTCATAAATTTTTTTCTCATGTTATCTGCAACAGTTAAAAGCACCAAAATTTGGCTGCATAGGCTTTTGTTGGTAGACTCAATGAGACTTAACCTGATAATGTACATTCTTTGGGAGTCCCCTCTGTGTGCTGTGATTACCATTAATGGTTCATTAACTAGGAGGGCACAGCTTTTTCTTGACAGCACAGAAAATTTTACGCTGCTGTGTTGATGTTAACTGTGCTCCCAGTCTTTTAGCACGTACCCTGCCACCTGGTGCTAGCATTGCTTACGCCAGAATAAAAAAAAAAAAGACACAGGTGCTTCTTGTTGAAAATGAAAAGCCAGATCAAACACAGTGCTTTGTATCACCATGCTTGGGTCACTGTGAACTAAAAATGCTACATAATTTCATTAGAGACAAACTTGCAACCAACGTTGCATCAGTGGATAAGAATATGGAAATGAGGCCAGGTGATGGTGGTGCAACACCTTTTAATCCCAGCACTTGGGAGGCAGAGGCTGGCAGATCTCTGAGTTCAAGGCCAGCCTGGTCTACAGGAGCTAGTTCCAGGACAGGCTCCAAAACTACAAAGAAATCCTGTCTCAGAAAAATAAAAATTAAATTAAAAAAAGAATATGAAAATGATATAGGTAAGAAATGAGGCAAAAATCTTGATGTTGTGGTATGAACCTTTAATACAGGTCACTGAAGCAAGAGAATGGTTTCAAGTTGAGCCTTGCCTTGGAAACTGAAAAAAACTCATCCCATTAAAAAGAAAAACAAGAGTTGGAAAATTCATTCTTCCATTGTAGAGGGCAGTTAAAATTTGGAGATATATGCAAATGATCATAAATTACAAATAACTGTCCAAATTCATGAATTTATTATATAATATAAATAAAAAATGAGGATCACAGGCTATTATGTATAGGAACCCATACCCAACACTGCTTGGGTAACCAAAAACAAGAGCCCAAGGACTTAGGGTAAAACTAAACACTACTGTTCAAACAACAACAATAGTAATAACAATAATAATAGCAACAACATAGCTATAAAATGACTCCTAATGACATTTGGCTACAGTCATAGATCACATATCCAGTGCCTTGCTCAGCCAACATCAGAGAAGCTTCCTCCTACAGCAGATGGAACAAATACAGAGACCCACAGCCAGGCATTATGCAGAGAAAAAGAGACCTTGGACCAAGCATCCCTATAAAGGATATATTCATCAAATGTTTCCCCTCAAGGCATAAGGAACTTTGTGGAAGAGGAGGCAGAAAGAGTGTAAGAGCCAGAGGGGATGAGCACACCAGGAAAACCAGGCCCTTTAAATCAACAGGATACACAGAGACTGAAGCAACACGCCCAAGACCTGCAAGGTCGGCATCGGGTCCTCTGCAGGTAGACCGAGGCTTCCAGTTTACTGTCTCTATGGGATTCCTAGTGTGCAAACATTAGGGTATCTGTTCCTTGTGCATTACCTTGGATACTTTTCCATCTGTTTGTTTGCTGTATCAGCTTTTATCTTTTTTATTACAATTGTTATATGTTTGTTTCTAATGAAAGACAGAGAGGGAATGGATCCCGATGGGAGGAGTAGAGAAAGGGGAAACAGTGATTAGTACATATTATGTAAGAAAAATCTATTTTCAATTATAGAAAAAAAGAAAGCAAACACTGTAAATTAATTAAAAACTTCAAAAATCAAATGCTAAGTTAAAGAAATGTTTGTTCTCAAGAAACAACATTATTGCTACCATATTTTGTTCCAAGAGAAGCAAAAGTGATAGGCACCTGAGAGAGAGGATGCATAATTCACAATCAGGACATTATGCCCATGGAATTTAACATCTATAAATCTTGACGTATCCTTATACAACATGAGTGTTCTAAAGCTGGAGGAACTAAAGACAGAACCCTCCCCAGGACCAGACCACCACTGCTACAGTACACACCAGTAGTCTGAAGGAGAAAATAATCACTATACCATTTGTTTTTAGATGTTATAAAGAATAAAGACTAATTGTTTAGAACTTATCAATACAATGGTAAATTGTGTTTAATTTTTTTCTACCCCAATAATTAATATTATCTTCTAACAAAAGCACGGGAAAGAATAATAAGGTAAACTAATCCTCAAAAAACTGATAAATCTGTTCTTGACACATACCTGTGACTGTTTTTGTTTTGATAGGGCTGCTGGCATATTCTGAGGCTTGATATGACTGCTGCTTTGCCAATGGGGCACTTCCAGCAGAGAGCTCCTCTTCTTTCCTCCTGCTCACTGCAGGAACAAGAGGAACTGCTACCACAGGCTGCTGGAAGACAGTAAGAATAAACGAGCATCTTTGTGAAGCACGGACAAGGACAGTATTCTGTAAGCTGGGGTAAATTTCTTTCTCTCTCAAAAGTTAATACCCATCTGGACTCTGGAACTATGTTACAACACTACTGGAGGATTTCCTCCAGAACCAGCCCTGCCTGTTGATGAGTTCTGGCTATGAACTCAGCCAACTGTGGATCAAGCATATTCAGGGCAGAATGCAACTTTACTAAGCTTTTAGGGGTCTTTTCTCATGTCCTTTTCCCCTAAAACACACAGGGGACAACTCTACACAGCATTCACATTGCATCAGGCATTACTGCATTATTACTGATACTCAGGTGTGTAGCAGGATATAATGAGGTTGGGTTGGGATACTCTATACCACTGTACATAGGCAACTCAAGCATCAACACATTTTAGTTCCTTGAGCCAAGAGTCTTTCAAGGATACTGAAAGACAATGGTACTAATTTTTTCAATACAAATAATTCAAGTAATTCAATTAAATTTATATGTTAATGAGAGGTTAACAAAAGTGAAAAACATAACAATGCTACAATAACAATTAATATCATTTACGGAATTTCCCAGTGTTTTCAAATGAGGGTTGAGAATTCTGTGTTAAAATCTATAAAGCTGTAAGTTAGCATAAATTGTAAAGGGCAATATAACCACAATACCGGGAGACCACCTCAAGTCTGAAATTCCCGTTGTGAATGTGACAGTTAGGAAGTAATGTTATTGAGGCGGAGGGGACAACTACTGAGGATACGGACAGTCCAGTCGTTGGGGAAACTCAGAATTCTACGTTGTCTGATGAAGTGGCAGTCACAGCACAGAACACAACAAGTTAGAGAAAGCTGGGAAGCATTATGGATCTCGATTGAGCACAGGGCGCTGAGCTGGACAGTGAAATAAAGTGAGATTGCTGCCAGTGACATCCAAGACAAGGCTGTCAGGTCCCCACATCCCATCCTCAAAAAAAGTAATTTTGCTGCAGAATCAAAGATCAATGCAGAACTGTATGAATCATCAAATACTGGGCTTTAGCCACAACGGAGAGGAAAGTGCAGCTGGGGAAACAAGGAATGACAGCTATGGTAAGCTGGTGTTCAGGATAACCCAGCACATGTGGCTGGCTGCACTGTGGCTCTCCCAATAACAACAGTTTCACAAAACATGCCAACAGGACAGCGAAGGGAAGTGGAAATCTATACTAAGAATGAGAAAAAAACTGAAAATGTGAAAACAAGTATATTTTTGTACCTGGTTATAACAATATATTTAGTATTATGTTAATTATATTTAAAATCTATTTAACACTTTAAATACTTAGACAGGCATGGTGACACATGTCTATGATTCCACCATTAGGGACACTAAGGGCAGGAGATTTGAGTTCTAAGTCAGTGGCCTAATAAACCCATCAATCACTGCCCATCATGAATATACCTAAGAGAAATCAAGCACTCTGAGAATTATCACCATAATAAGGATTAAAATGAGTATGTTTCTAAAAATTAAAAAAAAAACAAAGACATAATACTAAATTTTAGAGGAAAGGATGAAACAGAGGGACTGAGACCTTTACACGGTAAAGGAATACCAAACAAAGGCGGACACAGCCCTCCTTCTGCAGATTCAAATTCAGCATGTTTACCATGGGTACAATCCTTTAGAAACCCCATCAGCACTCTGTAGCAAGCGTTTTCAGATCCAGGTCTGCTCATGGGAGTTTCACACAGTTCCTTCCTGTCCTTCAGAATGGAATACCAGCGAGCAGTACCCATTGTAAAATTTACGTATCCTAACACAGCATGTTTCATTAACGATTCTAGAAACTACAATAACCTATTCTTCCTTTGCAATTTACAGTCTTCTAAATGAATACATGTCACAACTTTTTTTTTGCATGAACTATCAAAACACCAGAGTTAAAGTTCAAAGCAAATTTATTAAATAAATCCAAAGAGGGCAACAACAGATAGGACTGTCCACACTGGTCCTGATAATCTTTCTGCTTTATAAGCAACTATGTAGAAAGTTACTTCAACAGCCAAACTATGCTGAACACAAGTTCTTATAAATAAAATTACGGATTGTTGAAAAGCATAAAATGGGGCCTAAAGAGATCCTGGCACATAAATAAGAAGAGAATCAGTAACAACAGCAGCATCTAACTCCATGGCATAAGTGCACTGTCTAATCTGAGTCACTAGCAACAGCAGCATCTAACTCCATGGCATAAATGCACCGTCTAATCTGAGTCACTAACAACAGCAGCATCTAACTCCATGGCATAAGTGCACCGTCTAATCTGAGTCACTAACAACAGCAGCATCTAACCCAACACAACAAAAGAAAAGATGGTTTTGTTAGAATAAAAACTTAGACCCACTCACCTGCTGCATATGTCTGTTTGTCCTTTTCTGCGGTTGATAGAGGAGCCATGTATACAATACTGGGTCAATGTTAACTGCTAATCCTTGTACACTACAAAGAAACACAGCACCTGAAATAAAATATTTTTGAATTACTACAGTTGCACAGACATAAACGACGAACTCCTATAGTTAGGGTGCACACCACGCCTGCACTCGGGCTGTGGGACAGTGAGGCAGGCACGCCGGCAGAGCCACAGATGACCTGGGCCTGAGCACTAACCAGAGAAACAAGACAAAACAAAACAGGACTGAGAGAGCATCCTGCAATAAATTATGAGAGAAATGGCTTGGGCCACAAGAAAACTGTTCTAGACAGAAACACAACTCTGAGGCACGAAGAACCCAGCAGTAGAAAACAAATGCTTCTTTTCACAGTGAATATAAAATAAAATATTTCTAAATACCATTCAGATCACTTTTGTCTTTTAAAAGCAGAATAAACATATAAAGTGTAGCTCATATTGTGCAAGAGGTAAATGCACAATGGTAATGAGCCCATTAACCATGAGGAGTGAGTGGGGGAACTGGAGGAAAAGCTGCATGATAATGAGGTCATTCTACAGCTACAGAGAATCCTTCCCTGTCTTCTAAAGTCATCACTGGGGCTGTCAAGTAACTAGATACAAATGCTGACTAACACTAGTAAACTAGAAATGCATTTATCTTTCCCTAAACCTCCAGTTCGACACATCCTTCTGACATGTTCTATTTGAATTCTCTGATTGACCACAATACTAACAATTTGGTTCATTTTGGTCACTGAGAACTCAGTTTTCTCAATAAAGGTAAGAATGTTGTCATGTAATAAAGGTGGTAGAGGTGTCACAGGTGCTTTGGGAACAAGCATGAAGGAGAACTACGAATGTGGCCCATATAAATAAGAAACACCTGCAAACATCATGAGACTTTTTTTTAAATATTTATTTACTTATTATATATACAATATTCTGTCTGTGTGTATGTCTGCAGGCCAGAAGAGGGCACCAGACCTCATTCCAGATGGTTGTGAGCCACCATGTGGTTGCTGGGAATTGAACTCAGGACCTTTGGAAGAGCAGGCAATGCTCTCAACCACTGAGCCATCTCTCCAGCCCCCATCATGAGACTTTTTATATACAATTTTTTCTAGCCCATTACATTGTCAAAAGGTTGGGATCCCCACACACGTTAAAAGAACTACATATTTCCCTTAGTCTTGAATTCACAGTGAGACAATGTGAACTGAACATGTACTACTAGATTCCAGAGTGCACGCATGCGTGTGTATCAGAGAATGAAAATGAATCTGTGTACTTCCCTGTAGTTACTCTTGCCAACCAGCTCAAGATAGAATCTCTCTAACACTGTTTTAGAAACTACAAAGTTGATTGTCAATCCCCTTGCATCTGACTCAGATTTTTTATTATTTCATATTATACTATATTGATTTAGCATTTTAATCTTGATATATACAATTTCCCATATCTGGGCAAAATTTCAAATGCACAGAATAAAATACCATATGCATGTGTTTTGGTTTATAGATTCATGCAGAAAGTCTAATAAAATTTTATTTGAATCTTGGTGTGTGTATATGCTCATGCATGTGTATACATATATATGGGCACGTGTGCATATGTGTGTACTGGATATCTTCCTCAATCATATTCCACTTAATTTTTGGGACAGTATTTCTCTGGGTTTCAATGCTGCTAGACTGACTGGACATCAGGTCTCAGGATCCTTTAGTCTCCACCTACTCGATCCTGTGTTTGCATGGAAGGCCCAGCCGACCCAACTTCTTGAATGGGTGCTAAGGATCCAAACTCAAAACCCTACACTAAAGTAGAAATCTTTTTAATACCAACTTAGTCATTTGTCTTGCTCATAAATATTTTTATTATGATGTTCTAAATCAATTAGAATATTGAGTCATTCACATTATAGTATCTTAAAGTTTTTAAATTTCTATGTTTTAATCCTTAAATGTTTAACCCAATAGATGTTTTAACCCTTTCAAAATCACTGTAACAGAAGACAGATGAGATGATACTATGTATTTCTGTTCAATTACAGACCATTTCATACTAAAAGTTTTATTAATAGTAAATCCTGACTTCAAGTATTATCTGATATTTAGTATCGTGACTTCACCCCTCACCTGAGAGCTAGTGGAGCACATCACAGAACAGCCTCTACTAACAGGATACTACTCTCTATTCTAGCTGCAAGCTGTTTTTTTAATTCTTTCAAAACCATGGCTGATTTTAAGTACCAGAACTCTAAAACTGTTATCCTTGGAACATTTTTATTGCTTTATTTCATTCTTTAAAACCAAACAAAAATCCAAGGCTCAGGTTTGTCAGAAAGTAACCTAAAATTGATTTCCCACAGTAATACGTTGGCCTTTGAGTGGGGAAAATGAAGATAAAACTCCATCTTTAATGTAGCCTACCTAATATTTTTGATACTTACTAGAGCATGTGAAGATAATCTAGAATACAGCTGTTTCCACACTACACAGAACACTCTATGGAATAGTACTGTTCTGGAGTCCAAAGGATTTTTTTTTACCCTATCTGACAGTGGATTAAATGATAGGAGATTCAATTTTGTGTTTTCTCTCGGTAACAAAATCATAAAATAAGATCTAGGTAAAACTGGAGAGCTGGAAACACTAAGTATTAAAAAGAACATCAAGGTTAGAAGCTTAACATGGATGTAAAGATTAGATGAGAAATAAGAAGATTAAAAATGGAGACTTCTAACTTCTAAACAGTATTTGGTATTGAATGGAGTATCTGGCTACAGCGATTAAGAATGCAAATATAAGCCGGGCGATGGTGGCGCATGCCTTTAATCCCAGCACTCGGGAGGCAGAGGCAGGCGGATCTCTGTGAGTTCGAGGCCAGCCTGGTCTATAGAGCTAGTTCCAGGACAGGCTCCAAAGCCACAGAGAAACCCTGTCTCAAAAAAACAAAACAAACAAACAAAAAAAGCAAATATATTACTCAGTTAATACAGGGCAATTACTATCTAGGATACAAAAAGAAATAAACAGAATATATTCCAAAAATACAGAATAGACAAAAATATATGAATTGTTGATACAATTAAAGCAGGATTATAATGGACATTAGTATCTCCCTACCCTAATGTCTTAAACGATGAGGAGGTTTACAATAACATGTAATTAAAAATGATTTTATTTACATTGTGATTCGCGCCTATTCCCATATACTAGGAAAGCTTAGGAAAAACAGTCTGGGATTCACAGTGAGTTCAGGGCCACATGCAGCAATCAGGATTCCATCTCAAAACAACAGTATAAGTACACTGAAGTTCATCAACTCTTTAATTTTAAAGCTTGACATACAATTATAAAAGATTAAATTTAAGCACTGACAAGGGAAATTATTAGTGGTAACATATGCTTCAGTCCACATACTCTGAGCCAGTCACCTAATTTGTATAAAGGAAATTTACTGAAATACAGCCACACTTGTTGCTCGCTGTCTGCGTTAACTTTGCACTCTAGCAAGAAAATGGGCTGCTGCTACGAAGATTATATGGCACATGAGCCTAATATTTATCATCTATTTGGCTCTTTAAAAGATGTTCGCTGAGGTCTGATAGCACAGTGCTAATGGGAGGTTAAATGATGTAACAATTTTCAATGTAAAGTAGGAAAATTGCTTTGAGCTGTATCTGTACTTACATATTATCTATACTAACCATGTGCGTCTATCTGTACTTACATATTATCTATACTAACCATGTGCGTGTCTCTGTGTTTACATATTATCTATACTAACCATGTGCATGTCTCTGTACTTACATATTATCTATACTAACCATGCGCATGTCTCTGTGTTTACATATTCTCTTCACCATGTGCATGTATCTGTGCTTACATATTATCTTTATTAACCATTTACAAGTAAATTGAAGAACTAATACACATTTACTTCCAAATCTGCAATTATTATTAAAAACAAGGCTATGCCCTTACACAAACTTTATCTGCCTGAACATATCTTATTGACAAGACCCTTTTGAACAGTTTACAAATAATTCCTAATATAATAAGCTCCTTATTTTAAAAAGAAAGGTGTGTCCTACAAAATCTTGTAAGCTCTTTTGGGAGGAGCAAGAGCACCATCCCAAGTAAGGAGGAGGAGCTTCACCCACAAGTGATGCATGCATCTGCAGACTCCTCTCCAAACAAGTATTTGCCCTTATCTAAATTTCTCAATTCTTGCCTGTAATCATAGATCAGATTCACATTTAATTTAGAGAGCTTTCTAGTCACCAGAGAATATTAATCAATATCACAACCTCTGGCACAGTAAAGCAACTGACAGTCTCCAGACCCATCTAAAGCAGTCAGCAGAGTGTCAGAAAAAGAAAAAAGAAGAGTCTCCCATGTGGTGACGGCACAGAAGAGCTCAGATGAATTCCTCACAAGAATCTCAACAGGTTTCTTCTGAAATGAGATACTCTAAACCTCAGCTTCTCCTATGTAATGATAAAAGTATTCTATTTGAGACCAAGATGGAGTAACCAGACCATGTTCTAACTCCTGTGTGAGAGAGGAAAAAAAAAAAACTACGAAAATCATCTTAACATTGTACCACAAGGCTACGCAAGACCCTGGAAATCTGCTAACAGAGGACCGTGGACAATGAAATTTGAAGAACAATTAAACATTACTCTCAAAACTCACATTCTACTGCCACGCCCAACAACTCCAGAATGACACCCAGAAGAAGGCAGCTATCTGCTGGCTGGCAGAAATGCCAAACCAAAAAGACAAAGTGGAAATGAGAGAACTGGTGGTTGAAACTCTCAGAAAAGAAGCCAATGGTAAGTCTGTACACAGGACTCAACAGGTCTTCAAATGAACCCATGTAAATACCCGACGGGAGGGGAGAGGCCCAATATACAGAAGACCACAGATGTATGAGAAGCTGTTCAACAGCAGTATCATTTCAGAAATGAAAGCAAAACTACAATGAAGTCTAAAAACCACACACACACAATACCTACAAGTGTATATAAGAACACGGAAAAATGCCCCCACAAACCT